TTATTTGAGAGAGAGACAGAGACAGAGACAGAGCATGATCAGTCGGGGAGGAGGCAGAGAGAGAGGAAGAAGCAGACTCCCTGTTAAGCAAGGAACCTGATGTGGGACTCCATCCCAGGACCCTGAGATCATGACCTAAGTTGAAGGAAGACACTTAACCAACTGAACCACCTAGGCATCCCTTCATTTTTTATTTTTTAAGATTTTATATTTTTTAAGTAATCTCTACACCCAATGTGGGACTTGAACTTACAACCCCAAGATCAAGAGTCGCATGCTCTACTGACTGAGCTGGCCAGGTTCCCCTGGGCAGAGATGTTTTTAAAAAGACTGGCATAAAGTATATGAAACTGGTATGGACACTATTAAGACAGTTGCATGACTTAACTATAATTATTTACAAAATAGACGTATTATGGGGAAATCATGTATTGTTGACAAAAGAGATTATTTTTCTTTTTAAAAACACTCCTAAACTGATTGGCTGCATCAGCCTGGTGAAAAATTTTCATTCAGAAGATGTCAAGATCTTTCTCCATGATCTCACATTGCTACCCATTCATTTTTCACACATGGAGGCTTGTTCCTGCTGGGGCTCACAGTCAAATTGTAGGCTACATTGATCTCATCACAGTGAAGCCATTACACTTCTTTCGGTTTTCCTTACAGATTTGCTCCATGCATGCTTAAAATCTGGGAAAAACATACTCATGGGCTGGAGAAACAAAAAAGCAGCAATTTCCTTGCCTTATTCCTTGGCCGGTGATGAAGTAGAGAGCATGATGTGGTGATTGGAGCCAGACCTAACCCTGGCCATCGGCATTGCAGCTGACCTAAACCTAATTAAGAAAGATCCTGAATAAACTTGGGTGAGATCCAAAATCACTAGCTTCTTCAATCAATATTTTTGATATAAAAATCAGCATCTGGGCTGAGTAAAAGGGAGCACTGTTTCACGCCACAGCAAAAAAACAAAACAAAACAAAACAAAACCCAAAATTCCCCTCTTGCTTCTACCTTGACCTCCTTATGTTAGATATCTGACTGATTTGTATCTGTGATAATTTTCAGAGCAGTTGACTTACAAATGTCAAGTTCTGTCCTAAGCCCTGTCACAGACATCAGCCATTTCCAAACAGGTAAGTGGGTCTCACTTGTTCTCTTATTCCTGTTTGAGTTACCCTGCTGGTATATAAAGTTTAGCTGAAATAATTTTGTAATAAATTTTACTGGAAAAGGAATATGGCATTCTCAGAAAAATAAAGCAAGGCCCTGTTGGAGCTTTGGAAGTCCTCTTTACATACTGCTAATCCCTGACAACTTCAACAGACTGGCCTTCCAAGATGAGTCTACTCTTAATCTCTACGAGGGTATCCAGAGGATAATGTATATCGGAGTTCTTAGTGGAGTGTCTGGCACATGATAAGTGTCCAAAAATGATTGACTTGCTATCTTTTAAGACACCACATACCTGCTTTAGAAATAATTCCTAGTCTTCATCCAGGAAATTCACAGGCAGGGTATGAGATAGAGAATGAAAAGATTAATATTTGACTCATGTCCATGCCTTTGTTATCCTAAAGACTACTTTTAATGAGGTTGAGACCAATTAAGGGACAGTTGAAGACATCTCTACCTTTTAGAGAGATTCAGTGAAATATTCCCTAATGAAATCATATGATTTCTGGGGCTTGCTTCAAAGTAATCTGTGAGTGGGGGAAATAGATGAAAAAGACTAGCCGTGAACTGATAATGTTTGAAGCTAGGTGATAGGTGCACATGGGTTCAATATACTATTCTCTCTCTCTTACTCTATGTTTACAATTTTCCATTTTAAAACTTTTTTTAAAGGAGATGGATTAGAAATAATTATTTTTAAGTTGATGGAGTGCTGTCAGTTCAGAGCCGAGTCCCTCCCCAAGAAGTGCCTTTGGTTGAATGGAATTGTCTTGGCCAAGGTAATGCCCTCCCCTACACCTCTACCTTGGTAACTTGTATCTAGTGATTAGCTGATGGCAGAAAGGACATAGAAGCCTGTCTCCCTTGCTTCACTTTGAGATAATTTAAAGGGCCATTTCTCTTGCATACCTCCCCATGGGATTGACTAAGGCCTTTCTATGATGAAATCGTAGTTAGGCTTCTCCCTTTTCCAATCCTGTCTCCTCGATCCATCCTAGATATTGTTGCACTGTATGTGGTCTCAGTGTTATGCTGGTAAAGGTTTAACAGATGGCTCTCCAGATCCCGAATTTGTAGTGTTTGCCAATTTCCATGGTGTAAATACTCTCAGCATGGCCAATTTCAGGCTACCAAGGTGATGTCACAGAAGAAGGAGTTGGGAACAGATGAACACAATTGGTTCTTGTGACACAGTTTGAGCCAGTGCCAGCCACCCTTGCCCATTTTCCTTAATGAAATTCTTAAATGCAAATCTCTATCTGAGTCTCTATTTAGGGTAATCCAAACTAACAAAGAACCATCAATTATTTTTTCTATTGTCTATTTTGGTGATTTGTCTATTAAAGAAACTAATATTTCACAGGCAGAATGAAATGAAATTGGTTACCTCAAATGTTTCAGTGAAACACACACACACACCCACCCACCCACCCCACAATACAATGTCCCATAATAATTGCTTTGAAACATTTAAAATACAGACGCCTTTAATTTCCAAAAATTACACAGCTGCTTGAGGTGTTCTGAGAAAACAGACTTCAAATATGTTGTTCATATGGAGACCAGGAAAAATGGCCAAGAAATCACCAGAGAAGTTCAAAATATAAATTTTGTTATTATTGCCATAAATCCAAGAGAATTAAAGTTTCCTCATCAAAAATTTTAAGTCAGAGTAAGCCACTTACAGTATTTGCTGTCTCTGAAGAAAATACAGAGGAGTATTGCATGTGTGAAGAACTGTTAAGACTTTCACCCTATTGGAGAGCTGTTGTTGGAATAAATAATCATAGGCAGATTATTCTTAATAACCAATTTTGTAGAAAGAGAAGGTACCTGGAAAATGGGAACAAAATGTCTCGCTGAGGAGAAAAGTTTGGAATAATTCACTTTACTTTAGTAGTATAAGCACCCTTAATTATCAACAAAGAATGAGGACAAAATTTCTGTTATGTTATTAGAGACAACTGATCTATGCAAACAGAAGCTCCAGTAGTGGTCTTCAAATTAGGGCATGATTAGAAGCCCCTAAGGAGGCTGGCTAAATGTAAGTTCCTGGGCTCTTCCAATTCAGTGGAAGTCTGGCTGGGGGCCGAGGGACCTGCATTTTAATAAGCTTCTAGTAACTTCTGAAGCCCATGGTGTCTGTCAAACCAAAACATGCTGAAAGGCAATGTAGCCAAACATCCACAGTAACACAGTTCCATAATAGGATTAGGGATGTGTCTATGCCATTTCCCTGTTAAGCAAATGTATCCCCCCTAAGAATATCAGTCTGGATCCTTTATGTTCTGTTTCACTGAAGGCCACACCTTTTAAAACATCTTCCATCTATCTACCAACCAGCCAGATTCTCACCTCTGTACCTTTATACTCTTACTTGCTCTGTAAAGGAAGGGGAAAGTGTGTGTGTGTGTGCGCGCACATGTGCGTGCATGGGAGGGTTGGGGTACATAACAGAGTTTTGTTAGAAAATTCTCTTTCTCAACAGAACCAACCAAAGGGACATTTTGGGCTGTGGTATAGTTACTGAGACTCAAAATCCCTATCGATTTGAAATTGTGGTTTTATGAACCTAGCAGTAGATGTTTTCTTATAAAAATTAAAAATTCTCATAATCACTCTTAGCCAACCTCATTCTATCTATGACATATACTCCTATATTACCAGCCTTATTGGATCTGGATCCCTCCTAATGTTCTCAGGAAGCATAGCATTTGGTTTATAGCTGTTCTCGTAAGTGTATTCAGTGTAGACCCTCTGACAGAGGTAGTTTTTCATTTTCTTTAAAAAATCTTGTACATGAGAATGTAATAAATTGTCCTAGGACTCTGGGATCTTCATGAAGCAGGAGTAATGTCCCCCTTGCTCCCCAGGCCAGGTGGATAAATAATTATTTTCCTATCATGAGTTAGACTCAGGATCCTCCATAAAAGTAATAAAAGACGAATATTCCTGCCCCCCAAAACACCCTAAAACCCAAAGGGTGGGTGTGAAGATGTGTATGAAGATCATGGACTAGAAAGGAAGGGGATGTTTACTGCTCGGTGTACCTCAGTAAGGGCCTCTTCCTCTACTGTTCCTTTTATAGGACTGAAGACATTTATGCATTTTGGACAACTAACTAGAATCAATTTCACTTAAATGAACATTTTCAAGAGAAAAGACCTTTTTGGGGACACGTATACCACATATATTTTCTTTGCCTAAGTAATGGTGCACCAATGCATTGGGGAGAGTTGTAATTTAGTTATCAAAATTAGTCACTGGATGGGGCAACTGCATTGTCAGAACTCATTTCCTCTCCTCTTTTGCTGATAGTGATCCTTACAAATGTGTGTGAGAAACTTTATCGTTGTGATCACTTTTAAATTGATATACCTAGTAGCCGTTTTACTTTTCCCATAAAAAGCTTTCCATCTTTTAATCTGTTGTGAGCACCAGGCATGTTGCTCTCTCCAGCACCAGTGCTCCTGGCTGGGTTTCTATCTCACTGCACAGCATGAAAGCTTGAGTCCATTTGTGTCACAAGTCAAACCTCTCTTGAAGTGATTTGTTTATACTGTCATTTGATGGAGTGGAATGTTCTGTAACTCATTCGAACTATTACAGAAGCTTTGCTAAAAGGTCACCACTGCTCTTTAGAGTTTCCAAATCTGGGAACCATCTGGGAGCTTGTTAAAGATAAGGTTTTCCACTGGCTTTTTCCATACCAACTAGAACCAATTAGCAAAAAGGGACTATTCCAGATAAGTTTGTGTTCACATTTAGAAAGAGAGAGAGAGACAGGCAGTCAGACAGAACAGAGGCAGAGAGATAGAGACAGAGAGAACTCAAGGAAATTACAGTTCTTTGCTCAATAGTGTGCAAGCCCACTTTACACCAAAATCGGATTGCATGTGCCAGCAGACGGTAAGGACTATTTAATAGGCCTGAACAGGGGTGTCAGTCTTAAAAATGTTAAATAGAATTTGCTTTTTAATGTCATTTTTGAATTAATACATTCAAGTATAGTCTTGAGAGTCAACTCTAAAGGAAACTGCATCTCACCATTTACTCAAAATTTAATAGGAAAATGACAACTCATTCCTTAAAGTAATAAGGGTTATGTATGCAAGCTAAACATTCACTCCACATGGCACCAACAGCCTTCCAGTTGTTATAACATTACGGTTTGAGTCTAGGCCTACAATTGGCTTGTGTTTGCTTTCTGCCCACCCTTCCTTATGAAACAAAAGTCTTGAATTTTCCAAACCTCAAAAACTCAGCTGTAAAACTGTAGGAGACCAGGAAGAGGAAAAGGAGTTTCCTTCGAAGACGGCTGGAGTTACTGGCTGGCCAGTCCCGCTCTCTCCCTCTAAACATTAACTATAGCTTTTGACACTTATCCTTGGAAAAAGTCCAAATGTGGCAAATGGTAGAAGCAACATTTCTTTACCCTCCTGCCTGGAGCTCCCCATGATACAGATGAGTTCTAGCTGGGCCATTCATGGGTGAAACAAGGAGGTCAGCTACTGCCCACCACCCTTGCTCACATCTGCAGATGAAATAAGTACACACATAGGGAGATCTACTGAATTAAAAATCGAAGCCCTCTCCTTTGGTTGGAATGCCTGAAAGAGTCTGGACCAAAGAGTCTGCACAGGAGCAGCTAAAACACAGGCTCATTGCCATTAAAAATGTTATAGGAAGTGTGTGTGTGTGTGTGTGTGTGTGTGTGTGTATTTGTAGCAGGATACTTGGGAGAGGAGAAAGTTAAAATCTGGAACCATATTTTTGTCTCTGCAGTCCCGAGCTGGAGATATTAAAAACACAACCTTTCCTTCAGTTCAATTAAGCTGGTTTGGAAACCAAAATTGTCCTTAGAAAGAGGGGAGAAATCCATTTGTATTCCTTTTGAGGCAAAATGGGGGTCTTTCGGGCAAAGTTTTTAGGTGCAATTCAGGACCAGGAAACTTAATCTTCCAGTTCAAAGCTTGTCTCATCGTAGAGTTCGGGGCGTGTTGACTTCCTGTGCCGAGAATATTTCAGTTGCAGAAGATCACCCATTTCATCCAGGTTTTCCAACACCTGCAAAGAGATTGCGTTCCATCAGTTATTCTTTAAACTCCTAAGCCCCGCAGAGATACAATCTTCTTTTGCCAACTTCCTTGATTTTAAAGAAAAGGGGAAAGATCCAAATCATTAAGGTGTGGCTTATAAACCAGCCCTAGAGGAATGTTAGATGCTAATTAATTTTATTTCATATTCTTTAATAGTCTACCCCACATTATGAGTATTTAATTTGTTTTTGGGGTGTGAGGAAAGGAATAAAAGCATCTGACCAATGCTTACCCTTTGAGGCTTTATTTTAAAGTTTAATGACATATATATAACCTTGTGGAAGAAAGAGGTAAGGTTGCAGATTACATTTGGGTTTATGTCCTCATGACACAGCAAATCAACCTGGCCAGGGGCAAAATGGAACATTGCAGGAGCTGGTTAGTGTCCTCTTCTCTCTCCCATACTGCCCCAGCCACAGCTTTTAAACACTCATCTCTACGTTCCATGGAATCATAGGACTTAAAACCACAAAGGACCAAGAACTCATCTGTTTCAGTTCTCTCAATTCAGGCAGATAAATGTATCCCCAATTTTCCAAAGAAACAACTGAGATGCAGAATATACAAAACGTAATTTTCCCATCTAGTGTATCACTAATCTTATGGTACTGGGCATGCCTTTTTAACTTTTTTAGGCCTGTCTTGACCTGTCAAACGAGGTGGACAATATTAGGATCTAATGATTTGAAAAAGGTGAAGATGTTAGTTAATTCTGGAATGAATGACTAGTGAGCTAATGGGCTTTCCTCTTTGGGAAGTCTTTCAAACTGGCATCAAGTTCGATATCCACCAACATATGAAGAGTCATTTATTTCTGGGTGGTAGCATTATGGGTGGTTAAAATGTTCTTTTTACTTCAATGTACTTCCTAAATTTTTACATCAAATCTAGGCACTAAGACAAAGTAACAAAAGTTATATTTGAAATGACATCAAACCAAGATAGTGTCTATTGCTCTTGGCTGAAGTGGGGATGGAGTAGCTCAGAGTAAGGCATCTGTACACCGGGGGAGATGAGAGACAATTCATGGAAGGTGTGGGAGAACATAGGATTTCTAGTTATTTTAATCTCAGTCTTTTTAACTTCCATTTTTGTGTCTGCCATAAAATGTACATAATATATTGGCAGTGCATAAATAACTTATAAGTGGATTTATGTTGAAGCCCACTGATCAGATGATCTAGAGCACACCTGTGCCCAAAAAAGGTAGGCATGAATTACAGAAGAAGCATCTTAGTAAGAGGGACCTGGGAAGGGCTTCTTCCCAAATTTAGACTTCTGTTTGAGATGACTCCAAGGAAGCAGGGACCAGTCTAAGTTGATGCTGTTTTGAGCGGGAGAAGTTCAGGGATTGGCTCTATGCAGAATTCTTATGTGGCAGGTGGGATGACTAAGGTGAGGTCATTGGTAAAGGAGAAGCCATCACTCATGTTAGAAGAAAGAAATTCTAAGCCATTTTGTGTTTGTAGAGTGACTTCATCCCTGCCTTGTTCCAAACATGGTCATAGAAGGGACTTATTTAGTATGTATTTTCTGTGAGTGTTATATTCATTTAACTACCTCAATGTCCTGGCTATTCAAGGGTCATTTTTCACTTTCCCTAATGTGCATATTAAGGAATATGCTCACAATTTTTTTATTGATATAGGTGCCTGATTTCAAAAGCTTAGAGGCATCTGTCTAGATGATGTCTCAGTGCTCCTTCCAAACCAGGTATTCAACAGGAATTAAGAACATTCGAAGAGAATCCCGAGGTCTGATATCTCCAGAATTGGGTATCCATGAATACCTCAATGCTGTTGGGGGTCCCAAAAAATACAAATCACCCACTGCTGTCCACCCCCTCCTCTCATCTCTGGGAGCATGCTCCCCGGTCATGTCCTTTCCTCTCCCATGCCTACTGCCTCTCTCTCGTTACTTTTTCCTCTCTTAATGTGTAAACATGCTCAAGTCTTTCAAGGGATTTTTAAACCTATTTTTTCTTGCTTTTGTAGTGAAACTTGGCTTTTTCTATTTAAAAGAAACAATTTGTTAAAATTAATTACTAGAAATATATACTCATTTTGGAGAACCTGGACAACATAAAAAAGCTCTAAAGAACAATAACAACAAAGTTCACCCATCATCTCAAAACCTAGAGTTAGCTCAATTATTAGTGTGTCATGCAAGAAATTGTTATTATGTATGCACTCTGTAGAAGACACTGGTTTAAGTCCTAAGAATGTAATGGTGAAGCAGAAAGACATGGACACTGTGCGTGTATAATTTATTATTTGAGCTCAAAGTATTCACTTTTTTATTCTTTGTAGAACTGTCTCCTAGTGTATGAATATATACATACATATGTATACATACATAATATACATGCACACATAACAATCCATAATACATGTTATATGTGCACGTATATTACACATATACAAATAATTCATTCCCATCTTCATATGGAATAACTCATTCATATATAATGAATGACTTCATATAATCCCATATATGATTCCCACCTTCATGTTCCACAGTTGTCTATATTTCTTTTCCAAGATGAATTTATTCTGTCTGGTATTATCACTAGTTGCTTATTTATTAGTATCTCCTCTTAGAGTTTTTGCCCCAGGGTTTTGCACACTAGTAGACACTCAATGTGTTTGCTAAATTGCTTTGACACTAGGAGACAGTTCCATCAACCCCAGACTGATTGAGATGGCTTAGTTTTCTGCTCTTGCTCATTCACACAAAGATCAAAACCAAAGGACAGTGAAATGTGGTTATGAAATCATTAAAAGCCAGTGTAGGTCTGGATGATATGATGGACCTGTCTTTGTTATTGCTTTGCCAACATGTTGCTTAGTTGTGTCATATTTTCTTATGAGGGGTTTGGTGGCTCTGAAAAGTGTCAGGTTGCGGGCGGTTCATGCTGAAATAGCCTGTCAGATTAGCTTTTGCATTTAAGATCAAGTAAATGGCACAACATGTGGCTACTCAGTCAGTCTTTTTTATGAAACCAAAACAATGCCTTGAGTCAAATCTTCACTAAACTCATTTTTCTTTTCTATCCCCTGAGTTGATCACATTGTTGGACATTGTTGGCATACCCGTTTTTTTTTGCAGTGAGTTTTATGAGTGTTGGTTTTCTAAACCATCAAGAGAAATTTAGGGAACCTCAAGCAAGCTCAATAAAAGAATGTGCCCACAATGCAAGGTGCCATCACTGGTGGTTCTGTTGGCCTGTGGGGTACTCACCGTGTCTAGCATCTCCCGGGTGTGTGCCGCTGAAACACAAAACCGAGCCCGAGCTTCTGCGAGGGGAGTAGCTGGAAATCCAACGACCACCACCCCGATTTTTCTGTTTAATAGATGCCTTGCAAAAGCCCTATGGGAAGGGTAAAAAAGAAGGTTAGCTGAGAGATGACAAAATTATGTGGCAAGAAAAGGAATATGGCTAATTGACATTTCTTATAACAATAAATAGAAGATGATTGAAATTACTAAACTTCTGTTACATGCAACTGACAAGGAAATGAGGCAGTTCCTTGATGGCACCCATATCTGAGGGTATATATTATGCGGCCTGGCACACTCCTTAGAGCATTGTGAGTACTGTCTTTGACACTGAGCAGAAAATGCTGATGTATGTGACCCTGGTTTAATGAGTCAACATTGATATAAAAATCCTTCATCTGCAGAGTTCCTAGGAACAAAAACCCAACAGCTAACACAATGCAATTACATAAAGAAAGAATGTATAGTATGTGTAAACTTGTATGTTTTAAAAATGTAATACCAATAATAGAGTATGGAAATTTCAAGAAGACTATACTTAGTGACTATTATTTGAGAACCAGGATTTGAGGGTCTGCGGGTGCTAATACTGAGCTGTATTCTCACTCCAGAGCCAAAGATTTTTTTCCTCATTAAACTGGAGAGGGAAAATAGTAAGGGTCTCCTCATTTTTGATTGTGTAAATGAATCCACCCAGGTATGTTCAAGGATAATAAACCCAGTGACTGGGTTAAAGGGGAAATGAGGCAAGAGGGATGCAGGGAAAGAAATGTGTACACACAGAGAGGCTGGTTGGTAGATGCAGCCTGTAGTACGTAGGTCATAACTACAAAGCTTTCTGACACAGGGTGTAAACTTTCTCAGCTGTCATTCCTTCCCCTTATCTGCTTCTAGACACTTTCTTTTTCAAAGCTAATCTCAGTAACGATTCTAGAATATCGATCTCTAAAAAGTCTGTAGATTTTTTGTGCTAAGACCCAAAGTCAGACAAAAAGGCATGTGCCCCTAAGTGAATCTTTCCCCACTTTGTGCTCTGTTGTTCTCTGCAGGAAACCTTACTTACTAAATGTCTCTGCCCACAAGCAAGGTAAATGCCTCAGAACTGTTCTTAGCATTAAGAGGATTCTGGTGTCCCCTTTTTAGGCTGGAAGCTGACAGCACCACAGAAACCTTCCAGTCATAACTCAGGAAGAATTCTTGAACTAGACGTGGAGAGCTAGCTTGTTCATTTATTCATTCCTCTTGCCATGGAGTTGTCTGCCTTTTTGGTTGCCTCATGCAGAATGGATGCTATCAAATGAAGTGATGGAGATTGCAAGATCTGCTGAACACAGAGCCTCTCTGGCCCCGTGGCCCAGGAAAGGCAAGATTAGCCTTTGATTTGGATGAGGAAGATTAACAAGGAGATGAAGCTTTCTGAGAAAGCTTGAAAAACAGAGGCTGTTCTTTCTCTTTCTTGTTCACCCTATAGAAGGCTGCCCACGGAACTACACAGGATGAGAGCTCATAATTATCTGAGAAACAAGGCAAGTGCTTTTATTGCTAGAATACAAACCACCTGACCCATGATCTCAGGCTAGTTTTCAGGACTCCCCAAAGACCATTTTCACTGTCTGCATGTTTCTCTTTGTACCAGAGGAAGTGAGTTTTGCCAACGAATGTAGAGCAAAATATATGACTGTTGATTCATTAGGCTAATCTGAGGCCTCCCTGGAGCACTTTCTGGCTTAAAATTTACACTACTAACCCTGGCCTCCTTCAGTTAATGTGTCTGATTGTCCTGAACATTTTATATAATGAGCCTCTGGGTTTGTGCTCCCCAAAATAAATGAGAGCCAGTGTGAGCTGAAAGAAGCTAGACTACGTGGATAATAATATAAAACGTTAGCACTGCATATGTGCAGCATCACTGCATCCTGAATGCCACCATCCTACAAGTGTATGATGAGACACATGGAAGGAGAATGTAAACTCTGTACCAGAGAGTAAATACAATATATTCTTGTTTATTCAAGTGAATGTTTTATGGGTGAAATCACATGATATTGGACGTTGTAGAAGATTCCTGTGGTAGGGTTGCAATGAAGCTTTGCTCAAAACGATACCTGGCTGGAGATCATATTTTCATTCTGCAGTAGGTGGACATGTGGAGAAATCACAGTGCTTTAATAAAAGCAAAGGGTGGAAAATGAGCAAATGAAAGAAGTGCTCATACACTGGCTTATACAATTAACTCCTTGTTTCAAAAGCTTTTCTCTATATAAACTTTCCATTGAAGAAATATCTGAGAAGAAAACAAGGCCAGGCGGCAGGGAAGCTCTTGGCAGCAACTCCTGCCAATAAGAGATGACATTACCTTTTGTAACTGACCTATTCTAAGTTTCCTTAGACAACTCAAGCAATTAGAGTGGTTTTTTCCCCATTTGCAGTGACTGAGGCCTTCTGATTCACCAAAGATGACATTGAGAGTTAAACTTATACTCTGTGTTTGCTTTAATGAGATGTGGATATCCCCCACTGTGGACTAAAGCTTCAGAGGCCATGCTATGCACTGAAAAGAGCTCTGGTATAGGAGGCAAATGGAACTGGCTTTGAATTCTGGGCTCTACTGCTTGTACAACCTGAGTGACCCTTAGAAAGTAGTTTAACTTTTGTGGGTCTTGGTGCCCTTGTTTATAAACTAGGGCCAAGCACCCACCCTTGGTGGGTGATCGCTGGATCTGACAGTCTTACTTAGCATAGAATCAGCATTCAGCCACATCAGATCCTCCTTAAATACCATCTTCACTGGAAGGCACTAGATGGTTTGACATATCATCCAGGGTTCAATATGGCATATTTGATTCATGCAATAGCAGGATCTCCACCTACTATTTTCCTGGAAGTTCTATTTTTATTAATGCAACCAAAGGTTGCAATAACTATTTTGGAGAGCCCATGCAACCATGGTGACCAAATCCTGCACACAGTTGAAACTAATAATAATAATCATTGTACTAGTAGAAGTCCCAGTAGTAGTAGTAATAACCACCACTGATGAAGTGCTGATAGTATACCAAGTACTATATTAAGTGCCTTATATACTACTAATAATAACAGCTCCCACCTAGTGGCTCCTATATAAGAGACAACATACTTTATGCTGACAGACCTCATCTTGTTTAATTGAAACAATTATGAAATAGGTACTATTACATCCTATTTTAAAAATGAGAAAACTGGGGCTTCAGAAAGTTGGGCAACTTGTCCAAGATCCCCCAGCTAGCAAGAGGCAGAGTCAAATTCTTCTTCATTCCAAACTCCTCACTACACCAAGGAGCACAGTTTTTAGACATAACACCCTCTGATTTCATTTTTCACATTAGCTGTTGTCCACAGAAGTATTCCCTCTCTCTTTCTGTTATTGCAAAATTCAATTCCTGAATTTAAATGCATTTGTTTTAACACTTCATGGACTCTTCTTAGGGCATGGATTCATGTTAAAATTCTATTTCCAGCCTTCACCAGCAAAGTTAGAACTATATGGCATGCTCCCTAGGACCACCCTCCAGCATTGTGCACTTTAGACTCTCAAAAATAAAACAAATTTATTTGGTGTCTTCCTTTGAGCTAATGATAACATATTAGAGAGACATGTGCTAAGCATGGCATCTTTCTTCCACAAAATACCATTTTGCTAACCATTCTGAATAAACGTAGGTTTTCTTTTCTGCCCTCTGAAATTGGATGGTAAACGGTTTGGGATCATATGCTACTTTGAGTCCCTGTTGCCATTCCTCCCTGTGGTAAGTACCAAGCAGTATCCTGTGGGACTTTTCTGTAGCTCACTATCCTCTTGACCACTCCATGCAGTGTTAGCCTAACCCAGATCTGTGAACAAAGGGCCCACTGGCGGTAATGGTGTGGCATGCGAAAGAACTCACGTGTGTTTTTTAACTGTTTGTTATTTTGCTGTGGTGAAATGATGGAAGAGTGTATGCTGAAGAATTAACACAGTCCTATCCACCGTGAGTTCTCAACTGATAGCCCCGGAATCTCTTCTCTATACTTAAAATACTCTACCAATCTATTCAGACTCTTAAAGAGTCAAACAGAAATTTCCAAAAATGGGGTTATGTTGCAGGAGAGTTAGGACATCTAGAATCTTGTAAATATATGTTGACTATTACTTTCCACCATGCACATGGTCAGACACCCAAATAAACATTTTATATTTAGAAAGGACTTTAATTAACTTCCTTCTAATAACAGAGGTAGTTAGTCTGTGGCAAGTTGGAGAATGGCTCATGTATAAAATTGTCTATGCCATATTGAGAAAAAGTCATTTTTCCTCTTTATGCAGTTGTTCTCATGCTCAATTTCAGAGTTGCAATCAATGGGAAACAACTCCACATAGGTTTATAGGAGCGGCATTAAAATTTGGTGTTAAGAGCGTGAGCCTAAGTTTGGGTTTGCCTCTTGATATTCTCTTGATTTTACTACTGCTCGACTTGTATGACTTTAGGCAAACTATTTAATTGTCCTCAGCCTCAGTTTCCCCCATACTTGAAATAAGGCTTCCTTCTTCTGAGGATGGGCATGAAAGGTCAGTGGAGAAAGCACAGAGCCTGGTAATGTTGTTTCAAATGTTGGGAGAGATGGTCTCCAGAAGTTCTCCCTGAAAAAGACTGGGGCAGAAGGAGGCAAGGATCATCTCTAATTTACAGGTGAGGCCTAGGGGGTGACACCCAAATTCACAGGGCTTGAAAGTGGTGGGCACTTGATTCTCTTCTTAGAAGACCTCTTTGCTGATGGGCTGGCAGGTGGCTTCCAAGAAGCTATACAAGTGAATTCTGAACTCAGCACCCCATTCCAAGCACATAAGCAATGCCCATGCTGAAAGAGCCTCATAGAGTCAGAAGCACTGTCTTAGTCAGATCACCTTGGGGCTCCGGTATTATTCTGAGAGCCCGTTGTATACTCACGCTACTTTAGCAGGCATATAAAGGAGCAGGGGAATGACGGGAGACTCCTCATTGCCATAGATAATGAATCCCATTTCATTCAGTCTCTGTCTGAAGTATCTTGTGTTTTTTGCAAGTTGCCTTACTCTCTGCAACCCTGAAAGAAGACAGGCATGAAATCCATCAATTTCCACCAGGAAGAGAGAAGCAAAGGTCAGACTGACTTGGCAAGCATTCTTAAGTCTTTCTGCAGGCCTGCATCATTAGCTGGGAGGGGGTCAAAATAGGGCAGGGAAATATCTTTTGGTGAGCAGGTGTGGGTACTGATGCCTGAGAGCTGTCCTGAGTCTGGAAGTCAGGATCCAGGGTGGGGGTGCGGGAAGGTGCTGTTAGGTTCTGCTAGCAACTAAAGGCAGGGTAGCGTGTGGGGTGGGCAGAGAGTGTGTCTAGCAAGAAGAAATGAGATGAGCTATCATTTACTAGGTACCTACTGTGTATGGACTCTGTGCTAAAAGACATTAACTCAGGGGAAGGGAATGTGACAAGAAGTGACACAGACACACACGTACCACACCACTTGTTGGTAGATGCTTTTCAGCCAAGCTGAGCTGGCCCATTAAGTTGCTTCTCATCCAAGTCTCTAATCAAAGAGCACTTCACCTAACCTGAGCTTGAAGGGGTAGAACATTCCTGAACAAAGATAGGTCCAGCTGAGACCAGAACTGTTTTGTGAGGCATTTGGTAGTGGTAGAGTAATAGAGGGAAAGGAATAGAGGGAAGGGAAGAAGGGGACCTCTGTTTTCCCCAAGCACCAAAAATGACAGCATGGGCTCCAAACAGAAGGTCAAGGAAGGTACATGTGTCCATTTCCAGGTTATTGGTACTTCAGCTCAAAAGCTTAGCCTCTGTCCCAGGGGGAGGTCACACATATGAGATGGCAAAGGGAATTAAAGAGTGGAAAGAGTTCTGAAGAAATCTGTCTACTCCATTACTGCCTTCAATGAGGCAAGTGGGCAAATCAGCCAAAACCAGAGTGTGTGTGCTTGATACAGAAGATTGAACAGAACTGGATATTTAAGTCCCCAAGAAATCAGTCCAACGTTTGCATCTGATGCAAAGTGGCTGTTGAGCAGGAAAAGCTGCTACAGCTGACCACCATTATGATTGGTTGGGTGTCTATTCAAACTGATTAGAGTTCTTGCTTTACTAGTTTTTCAATATTCTGAACATCACTCCTGGGTGTCTGTAACTCTGCATATGGAAAATGGGTTAAAATGTCAGTAAACATGTCAATCATGGTTCTCCAGTTCCTTCTTGGAGAAATGGCTCAGATTGTGTCTTGACAGACGGTTGAGCAGTGGACATTTCCTGCTCAACATCTTTCCTGCAGGAACTCTTATGAGTGCTGTAAAGAATGCTATGTGGTGCCATGACGTTCAGGTAGAGTTGGCCCTGACTTTCCTCTTTGCTACAAGGATATCATATGACCAAGGCCTAGCCAATTGGAATACTCCATCCCCCTGATTATTGGTTCAATGATGAAATACAACCTGGGCCTATCAGAATCTTTCAGATCTGCTGAAGAAGTGTATGAATGAGTTCATCCTAAGCTACATGTTTTTCATCATATGGAGGAAACCTGCTTGAGAATGATGTTGACTCAGAAAGCCAAGGTACAAGACAGTAAGAGTCCTGATGGCATCATTGTAACCCTTAGGCCTAGCCATGCCTAAGTGAATCTGTCCTTTGGACTGTCTGTTGTGTGAACCAATACATTTCTTTTTCTTAAGCTATTTGAGTTTATACAACCTATAACCAAATGTGTTCTGAGTAATACAGGTGGCCACTTATTGTATGGGGTTACCTCTAAAGGACAATAATAATAGCAACAGCAACAGTAATTGTAGCTCACAAATACATAATGTTACCACTGTTATAAGCACTTGACATTTAATAATTTATTTAGTCCTCACAACAACTGTATTGAACTAGATGCTATAATCTCATGTTACACACAAAGAGAAGCCAAATAACTCACCCAAGTTCACATAGTTGGTAGGTAGCAGAGCCAGAATTTGAACCAGGTAATTGGGTTCTAGAATCTGTGCTGTTAACCTCTACATTATGCCCAAGAGTAGCAATGGGTGATGTCTACCTAAATAATGGATGATAGCCAACTCTTCACTAAGCTCAATAAAATATACTCTTCCAGCTATTAGGATCATTGTTATACCAAGTTTTTCTTGTAGAGGCAGTTCAGAAGTTGAGGGCTGAGCAAGCTTTCAGTAGCCTCATGTTGTGAGAAAGGGGATAAGACGTCAGGGACTAGAGTCTGAGGCCTGCCACAGGGGAGGACTGGTGAACTCCCTTCACTTTGAGTGGGGAGCCTGAAGGGTTACTCCTGAGAAGTAAGGGTGAACCAGAAGTAGACAGGCTCCCAAAGGGCACATCCACTCCCAAAATAGTTCAGATCTTCTAAGAGTTTTTCTTTGCTTACCAGGCCCAAATCTACTTGACTTCTCTGACATCTTAAATGTGTTAACAATATATGCAAAGGAATGGAAATTTAGTTGAGTGGAACACCAATCAAGAAGGAGGGTGTTGAATTGTCCCTGTGTGTTTTCTGTTTCTACTCTTCACTCAACTCCAGTTCGCAAGGAAGACTCCTCTCTGACTCTGCCAGCAGACTGTGATAGAGAAAGCATCTGGGTTATTGTACTTTTTCAGGAAAGCTGATCTCTCAATTCCACCACGCTGGCCATAGCTAATGGATGCACAACACTCTTGATTGAAGGCCAGTCCACTTGGGTGTTGGCCAGAGAGTCATGACTTGTCCATCATGGGAACTTCACCAAAGAGATAACAAATACGAATTAAACCAATAAGAACCTCTTGCTGGTAGAGTATGAACGTGAAAAATTTAGAGAAAGCCAACAATTGGTATTAAGACTAGAAACTGAAGGACATAGAAAAGCTTATTATCAGAATCTATAAGACATAGGATCCACTGGTCAGTGGCAGCGATGATAAACCATATAGAAGAGAAGTGGGCAGTGCAAGGTTAGTCAGTAGCAACTGGAAGAGAAGAAATAGAAACAGGGAAAAACACATAGTCAGTCTAGTGGGCAGACAGATATGACATCTAAAAATGCATGGAAAATTGCAACTCTTATGAGTGCTGTAAAGAATGCTATGTGGTGTTATGAGAACCCATATTAGAGAGATTGGACCAAATCTGAGGAAGTCAATACATGATGAGTGAGTTGAGATTGGAAGGGTAGACCCATGTTAACAGGCAAAAAACTAGAGGGGAGCATTTCAAGTATAGGAAACAGGTGCAATGGTCCAGTGGTTTGAGGAAGAAAAGAGTGGTTGAGAACCGGGTAAGATGTGGTTAAGTGTTGGGCAAGATAAGGCTGGAGTGATGGGTAGATTTTCTAAAAAAAAAAAGAGGACAGGGATTGAAGGATCCAGCATTTAGTGGTTGGGAAGAGAATAAACTTAAAAGGGAGACAAACAGAGCAATCAGAGTGGGAGAAGACAAATCAGGAGATGAAATACTGTTTATTGATTTTATCAACATGGCAATCATTGATAACCTTTACTTTTGGGGTTCCTGGTTGGGACTTTGGTTTTCAAGAAACAGGTAGCTGCAAATATGGTTTATTTTAATTCATATATGCTTTTATTTTCCCACTCATCTCCTTCAAAAAGTAAAAGATATGCCCTCAACCCTGAAATTCCAGATTTGCAACATGAATACAAGTAAGGGATTGGGAGAGGTATAGAACCATTTGTATACATTTTGCTTTGTAATATGCTGAAGTGTTCCTTGGAAACTTGTATGTGTATAGAAAGCAACCTCTTTGAAGGCCAGAACTAGAAATGAGGAGGAGAATATTTGTCTTCATTTAAAAGAAAATTTCATGTATACATCGAAACTGTATTTAGGTAGGTGAGAGCATAAGGAGTAGGGGGAGGTTGTAGAAGAAGAAGGGAACGAAAAAGAAGGACTGGGTAAGACTTGTTTTAAAGAAGGTGATTCAAATGAAGTCACAGATATACATCCCAGCCACCAAAATGTATCCCATATGGCCTGTCGCCTTGTATGTTTAGCTCTTTTGTTGATCGTTAGCTGCACAATGAATAGATGACTTCATCAGCCTGGGTCTGATGATTCCTAAATGATCCCCCTCAAAGACTAGAAGGATTTCCTGGCCTGGAAGTGCATGAATGACTTAAATTGCTTTTCCCAATGGCATTATCTTTGTGCTTGCCCATAATGACTCATCTATCATTGGGCTGCCCAACTACTTAATTGGCCCCGTCTGTCCCCTTTGCCTTGATTAACCCAGGTAACTGGATCATCAGCTAATGTCATCACTTTACTGCTCCTAGATCCTTTGGAGAGTTGACTAAATAGATCAGAATATTGATCCCAAGGATAGCTAACTCTTAAGAATTGCCCTGTCTTTTCTATCTTTGAATCATTTAGCATAGCATGGCTGACAAGCCATTATAATATACTTCATGGTCACCATGTTTTCTCATATAGATCACTATCAATGCCTTTGAGGTCCTTTGTGTCAGCCAAGATACAGCTCCTTTCAATTACTCTATCGCTCACTCTTTAAAATTGGAAACATTCTACTCTTATAAGGCCTGGGGGCAGAGAGGAATTTATACACATAAAATGCTACTCATCTAGGCAGGATGTGGGTGATTTTATTAATTATGGTGTGCTTTGAGATCCTTGTCTGAAGAGTGTTTTGTAAGAATAGGAGGAATTTTTATCATTTGTCTTTTTGTACAGGGATGGCCATGCCAGGGTGGCATGGAGATTGGGCATTGCAGTCACATTCCCTACCTAACACTCAAAGTCTCTAATTCAACCATTTCTGGTTCTTCTTTCACACATCATGCAGAAGACAGGGAAGGTCTCTGCTCAGATAGTTAAGTAAATGAGTTGATCTCTTATGTAGGGTTCTGGAGAGTTTATATGTTTATTTTGCTATATTCTGGGTTCTATGAAAAAGGAAGAGGCTTTGGAGTTAAATGGACTAAAAAAACTGAACTCCATCTGGACAATATAAAGCCTTAAAACCTCAGTTTTACCTGTAAAATACAGATAAATAAACTCATCACCCAGAAAGGTTG